AACGTCAGCCTTCCTGCTCCTATGATGCTGCTTGGCCTGCTGTGTTCATCCAGCCCTGCACCTTGTTGTCTCGGATTCTCCAGCATCTGCAGTTCCTACTATCTCAGCTTCTCTCTGTGTCTGTTCTTGCCAAACCTTTAATAATTTTAAAAACTTGTATTAGAACACCCTTCAGCTTTCTCTTTTCAGGAGACCCAGCTTACTGATCCTTCGCAGGTAAATACAACCTTGCATTCTTTTAAATCTTATCTGTAATTAAATTAATCTTTTCATGCCCAATCTGCAAATTTATGAATGTTGTCATGAATTTATCACAGCCTTTAATGTTAATTATAACCTATTATTTGGTGCCGTTCTCAAATATTGATATTGTAACTGTAGTCCCTAGATGGTATATGTAAATGATAAGCACTATCCTTAAGGAACATCACCTTCCACCATTGCCACTCTGTATACCTACCTTTTATCCCTACTCACTGTTTTCTGTTTTTTTTAGCTAAATGGCAATCTATTCTATTCAATGTCCATTCACCCCTGCATGCTCTGATTGCTCTACTACATCAGTACCTTATTGAAGACCTTTATGAAATTCAACTGTATTATGTCCACTGCATTACTGTCATCTCACTGTTCCTAGGAACAGTAACAGGATTAATATTTCACTCAAGTTTGTTTTCATTGATTCAATTAGATCATGACCAATCTGCATTTTAACCCTTATTTACTTAGTTAGGTTCTGTAGTTAGAACACTTGCCTAACAAAGCTCTATCAATTTTAGACTTGTAATTTTAACTGACTTCTGGCCTCAATAGGGTTCCAGTTTTGCACAGCTCAGTTAATAACTGCTCCCTGAATGGCTCCCTGGTTTTAAGGTTACATATCCTTATTACAGACTGTCCCATCAAAGGAAATTGTTTCTCTATCTACCTTATTAAATCCTTTAATCATCTAAAGTAACTTAATTAGACCACATCCTAATCTTCCTTCTATACTCAAGGCAGTATGAATCCGAATGTGTAATTTTTAGCCTCAAGACCATTCTGATGAATGTTCGGTTACAACTTCAAAGAATTAGTAAAGCTGTCAAGCAACAAATTGCCTTTTAGAATCTGGGCTGGCTATACTTTGTTATATTTTTAGTATCCGCAGTGTCTTTCCATCACATTTAAGACCTTGAACTCCTAAACCTCTAGTCCTGGTTTCTGCAGCTGCACCTTAACTTCTGCATCTTAACCTTACAATCCAAGTCCTGGATTTCATTCACATGATACAAGCACCAGACTGAACTCTCTGTTACAGCTAAGGACAGATCATTGTGCTGTACAATCTTGTCTCTCTGCTGTTGTATCATAAACTAACACTTTCAGTGACACATCCTGCAATACTCCACATCCACCCTGCACCACCTATATATATCTCATTCATTGCAATAATCCCATTTTGTTTATGGTATGGTGCCTCACTGTGTATTTAACCTTTCAAAACCATAGTGTTTTATCAGTTGTAAGGCAGGTAGATGATAGCAGCTCCCCACCACACTAACTGTTTGTTGAGATATGACTGACTGATCCCATTGTCTTCTCAGGTTTAGAGGGTGAACTGTATCCTCCATTTCAGGTGAAGCCCCAGCTGTGCCCACTTCTCTGGGTCTCCAGATGAAGGGTGAGGAGACTGAACTACCAACTCTCCGATTGAACCCCACATCTCCTACTTTCTCCCCATCCCTGCCCCCCACCCAATGAAACCAATGGTTGTCATCCCAGTATTTTAAAGGAAGTTGGGGAGAACATTGCTGATGCCTTATCTATAACTATCCACATTACTCTTGTAAGTAATTGTGGTCCCAGCACTGAATTTCTGTGGTACTCCAATAGTTACCGTTTGCCATTCTGAAAATAACCCTCCATCCCAAATCTCTTGTCCTCTATTTGTTATTGAATCTTCCATCCGTGCTAATGTACTACAGTCAACACCATGAGCTCTTATTTTGTTAAGTGGTCTAATCATACAGTGTAGAAAGAGACTTATACCATTCTGTACTAATAAAAAAACCCTCAACCCTTTTCTCCATGCCTGTCCTTTCAAAGAGTCACAATTCCCTGAATATTTAGTTCTGAAGTGCTTTGATCTCCTTGCAACCATATCTCCATAATGGCTATAAGATCACACCCATTAACTTCTACTTGTGCTGTTCATTTATTTGTAAGTAAAGTTCTGCCTTGCGTGTGAAATATTTTGTAGTATTTGGAAACAGTGAGAGACCAGCTTTTCTGAAGGTTTGCTTTTCCTGCACAGGTGTTACAATACGCGGTGAGAAGGACTGGGCACACAGGAAGCAACTGGGATTAGTCTTTGTGGCAGTAAAATCGGAATATTAATCAGGATTTATTACTGTTGTCCCTCCAGGGCCTGCATCAACCAGCATCTGATGAACAACAAAGATTGTTTCTTCTGCAAGGCCATGATCACTGCAGTGGATGATTATACAAAACCATCCTCCTCCTAGTTGCCGTTGACCCTGCTTTCCAGCACTAAGGAGAAGGGATGCTGCTTCACGACATGGGGGACTGCATCTTGCAAGGATCTGAATGATCAATATCCGATGTCTACAAGAGGGAATGATCCTTGGTGATTCACTGAGCGGGTGATTTGCTTGTTAGACTGCTATTGTGTTTCAAATATTGATCGCTTGTGACTGAGACTAACGTGTTCTGAAGGGCAATTAACAGATTGGATTTCACTCTATCCCATCAAACACTGACACAAATGCTGTGTCTTAGCTATGACTGCCACCCTGGGTCCTAATGCCTATCCCCTGAACCAGCTCATGAGACTCAAACTGGGGGTCAGGTTTTAAAGCAATAGGAGAGGAAACAAATATTTATGTGCCCCACTGTATTGTTCAGTGTCAACAAGAGACTGATTGGGGGTTGGAAATAAAACAGTTAGTTGTCCCCAAACTGTAAGGGGACATCCTTCTGTCTACAGATTATTTCAAGTTCCTGAGAACTCCCTGGACCCTTTTCACTTGCTATTAAGGTTTTTGTTGGGAACTTTTAAACGCCAAGAGAATTCAGATTTATGTTAATCAGCTGCATTGTTTGATGCCCTGCTTTGTGGTGGATTTTGTTTTATTTTTGTGTTCTTACATTCTTAAGCCAGAAAGTCATTTCCTCCGAACTCAAAAGTTTCTGCAAAGCATCCTGAGTTGTTCAAGCTCCTACGTGGGAAATGTTTCTCTCTAATTCCTGCCCATCTAATTGCTTTGTAAGGGCTGGTTTCCACCAGCTGAGGCCCTGTTGTAATGGGGCTGAGGTTTGCCCTTTAATTTTGGCATGCTTGACATCCAAGACCTGGCTTACGTAACTAGCATTGACACTGTACAACTCACTGGAGTTCAGTAGCATCACTGAGGTGCTGTTAGCAAACCTTACCTGTAATTTTAGCCCTTCTCATCTATATCCCAGACACAGCACTCAAAACAGCCAACCCCAAAACTCCACTGCAGTTCCTGTGCCAATCTCTCTGCTCAAGTGTCTCCTCACCTCCCATCCCTTGCCATTTTTTCATCTATAAGCCTTCAGCTTTAATTTGAAGAAAGGTTTACCTTTAGAACTGGAGCTGGTTTGAATAATTTGAGTCAGGGCCCCTTTACTTTCAGAAGCCGGTCAACTAAGGTAGTGATAATGTTTGGTCACATTTTGATACATTTGTTTACAGTGTGCAGTACAACAGAAATATTGCTATCATTATAGTGAGGTTTTCCCATCAATCTGATTGCACTGTGTCTGCAATGGCATTGAGGTCTAGGAGATCTTAAGCCAAAATATCAGAAGATGCTGGAGGTTTCTTCAGTTTTTTGTGATTTATGTATGAGACTCCCAAATCCCTCTGCACTGTGGTATTGTGAAATGTGTTAGTGGCTAAGATTTGGTTTACTTAAACCAGTAAGTTCTGAACATAAAAATGAACAAGTTTGTTGGAGGAAATAAGCACAAGGGGAGTGAGAAATTTTTCAGCACTGTTGCTCTCAGCAGTGTACGGACACTGTAACTACCCATGAAAGTTGTGCCAGTTTCTCCTGTTAGTAGCTTTTGTGACCAACCAGAGGTACAAACACACAATATGAGAGTTCTGACAATGAACAGTGACTGCTGACTCTCAATCATAATGCTGTCTCCTGCTTCCCGAATCAAACCCAACAGAAGACCCCATTCACGTAAGGGACTGGCAGCAAACACTCTCCCAAAGTCACCAGCACTCAGTCAGCCCAGAACATGCACTTTACCAGGACCGACCCGGCCATGCACTCAGACAAACGTGTATGTTTCATCATGGTGGGTCAAATGTTGCAGGCCACTCTGTGATGCAGCCTTACACCAGAAGTGTCTTAAAGACACTGTTGATGGTCCTCCTGCTCCATCACTAGTTGGAACTATGGTTATAGCAAATTGGGAACTAAACTTTGCAGAAGAGAGTGTGTTTAGTTGAGCAGCTGACTTGTTACCTATTAAAATCCAGCAGAACCAGGATTAAGTATTGTTGTGCATGCAATATTGTCTGTTATCACATAAACACATTCAAATAATTTGCAGGTTTTCGGGAAAGGTTGAATATTGTGACTAGTGTGTGCTTCCAATATAAAACATATGGTGTTAACACATTGTGAACTTTTCATCCCTACCCAAAAACCCTTTCCTTAATGGTTCAGAACTTAGTTTATTTTTACAGAAGAATCCACAATCAGTTGTTTCAATTGTGATTATACAGTGGGATGTTATTTGTATTAGTGAGAAAAGGGTCTGCAGTGGTAAGGCTTTAGCTCCACCTCACTGAAATTGAGTGCAGTGTGAGAAACCAATGATTCCTGCTTTTTGTACTGTTAGTGGGAGTCCCTTTTGTTGGAGCTGTGGAGTGAATGAAGCTGCTGCTTGTATTGAATTCCTGAAGGAGTTTAAATGCAGACCTGAGCATTAAAATGATTTATGCGTCTGTCCGTAAGCCTGTTGCACCGTTTGTACATCAAGCTTTTCTTCAGAACAAGTCCCATCTACTACTCATTGGAGCAATCAGGCAGCATCTCCTGCAGCAAGCCTCAAGTAAACACCCCTATTAAGTCAAGCTCTCTCAAGCTTTTTAACACTCTGGTCTTAAACATTGCTTACACTTTGGGATTTTCTAATCTAAAATATTAAACCAGTTATTTGGAAAGTTACCCAAATGGGACTAATGCACCAATCAGACTTGCAATTCATTTACCTTATGGGTTTTGAACAAAAAGTTAATAGATTTTTTAAAAAATCAGTGCATTCAATGACCTTACTTCTGCCTTCAGGATATTTGCAACAGCCATCAAGAATTCAGCAACTCCCACTTACACTTCATTCAGCCACCAGCACTTCATGTAACTGCAAATGTCATTCAGTGCTGTTTCAGTGATGACTGTTTTTCCCATTTTCATTAACACAATAACCAATTTTAGAAAACAACTGGGGGCAGATTTAATTCAGTGTTGTGTGAAAGTTGCAACCACCTGGCTCATGGCATCTACCAGCTGAGCAAACTCTTTTTGTTTACAAAGAGCACTATTTGAAATGGGTTTAGGACAAATATAGACAGCCAAAACAAAGATCACAGCAATCCTGTTGAAACCTGGACAAGTCTACAAGACTGTATTTGAATAAAATTCTCAAGATTCCTCAAGTTAAAGTACAACAGAAGGCTTCGCTCACTTGCACTTCCGAGGCACTTTCAGCAGCCAATTCCATACCTAGTCCACGAAATGAATTTTAGTCAGAATAATGCCTCCCAAATGAAGCAATTCTCTAATCCAAATTCAAGTTGAGTTTATAGGAAACCAACATTTTTGTTCGTTTAAATAAAAAGTTGGAATGTCTGAAAAATTGACTTGGCGCTCCCACTATTATCATTGGTCACTGACTGGGTAACTGCTTACATTTTAAAACATGGAAAGGATAATACAGGGGAGTAAAGAGGCAGCGATCTCTGCTTCCAGCACTCACTGTCAAACCCTGACATTTATTCTCAGAAACAGTCCACCAAACCCAATAATAGCCTTGAGCCCAACAGCAGTACAGTGAAAGCAAGCTGGTAAGTGGGTGTGATGTTTCATCAGCTTTGCCTCATAATTCCATAAACCAATCAAGCTGCAACTTCAAGGCAGAAAGGATAATATTTACAAAAGTGATTTTGAAGAAATCACATCAGACTGAAGGAGGAATTCCAGAGATAACTTACGACACTGACCATATGCCCTTTGTAAATGAGGGGCTTGATACCGTCAATGAGTAGACCTAAATCCAGAAGACACAGTACATTAAACTATGTACTGTGAGGTGCAGCTGTTCCAAGGAATGTTTTCAAAGCCATCCTCCAATACAATAAGGTGTGTCTAGATGCTGAATCCAATACTATACAGAAGACCCACTCCCCTCAGAGCAATCAATAATTACAATCAGCAAATATTGTGGGAATCAAACTGCAGCCATTTCAAGCTGTACTGCCCTCAGACACATCAATGAAAGACAGGAGCTACAAGTAACTTGTCACAGTGCAAGTTCAGTTGCTGGAGGGGGAAATTAATGAAGTATCAGGACCCTCGTTATTGACTTCATCAGCAGCTCTGTTCTATCCACTGATAATCGGTGTAGCTCAGTCCTTTAGCTTGCACTTTAGGTTGCTGTGACCTACATGATTATCCTTGGTTCAGGCACTGAATCAGCAATGGATTTATGAGGTAGAACGTTGGCGCCATTCAGGTACAGCTCATCTTTCACAATCACATCCTCTCCCAGGACTGCAATATTCTCCATCCGCACCTGGAAGAGAACAAGACAAGAATCAGCCCAGACCTTGTCAAGAACAATCTAACATTTAATTACACAGGAACCCAAGAAAGAAATTCAACCCTCAAATACATTCTGTTATTCAATGAGATTAAGTATGACTGCAACCTGACTCCTTAACAAAAAGTAACAGATTTAAAATTAACAATTGATCTAGTGTCAATTGCTATTTGTGGGAAAAGTTCCAAACCTCTACCACCCTTGGCACATACTTCACTCCTGAAAAGTGTGAACATAAGAACTAGGAGCAGGCGTAGGCCATCTGGCCCCTCGAGCCTGCCCTGCCATTTAATAAGATCATGGCTGATCTTTGAGACTCAGCTCCACTTACCCGCCCACTCACCATAACCCTTAATCCTTTTACTGTTCAAACATTTATCTAGCCTTGCCTTAAAAACATTCAGCGAGGTAGCTTCAACCACTTCACTGGGCAGGGAATTCCACAGATTCACAACCCTTTGGGTGAAGAAGTTCCTCCTGACCTCAGTCCTACATCTGCTTCCCTTTATTTTCCCTCTAGTCCTAGTTTCACCTGCTAGCGGAAACAACCTCCCTGCCTCCACTTTATCTATTCCCTTCATAATCTTATATGTTTCTATAAGATCTCCCCTCATTCTTCTGAATTCCAATGAGTATAAGCCCACTCTACTCAGTCTCTCCTCATAATCCAACCCTCTCAACTCTGGAATCAACTGAGTGAATCTCCTCTGCACCCCCTACGGTGCTAGTATATCTCTTCTCAAGTAAGGAGACCAAAACTGCACACAGTACTCCAGGTGTAGCCTCACCAGGACCCTATACAGCTGCAGCATAGCCTCCCTGTTTTTAAACTCCATCCCTCGAGCAATGACAGACAAAATTCCATTTGCCTTTTTAATTACCTGCTGCACCTGCAATCCCACCTTCATCGATTCATGCACAAGGACACCCAAGTCCCTTTGCACAGTAGTGTGCTGCAATTTTTTACCATTGAAAACATAGTCCATTTTGTGGCTCCAATTTTTTTTTAAAACAATTCCCCTTAAACCAATGGCAACAATTTCTCTGTATCTATCTCAACAGGTTTCCTTTATATCTCAAAAACCTCAATCAAACCAGTCTCTAACCTTCTAAATTCCTGGAAATACCACAGCCTAGTTTGTGCAATCTCGCTGCACTGTCCTGCCGACAGGCTCAGTGTATTCTTCCAAAGGTGGTGATGCTCAAAACTGCTCACAATGACTAAAGGTGTGGTCTAAAGCAGGGTTTGTGCAAGATTGAAATATGACGTCTACCCCATGTATTCTAATCCTCTAGATAGAAAGGCCAGCATTCCTTTTCTTTTAAACAAGTTATTTCTGTGTATGCTCATAATGGATCTCCACTTTCTTTTAGCTATTTTTTATTTAAAGTTTACCATGTTCCACCTTTTTAGGTTCAAAGTGAGCAATCAGACACTTGCCAATGTCAGGTTGGTCCATTTACTTAAAATTACAGAAGCATTAACAGATTATGTTTCCATGTACACCAGTTCCAAAAAATCCAATAGCTCAACCCAGTTTTTTAAAGGAATTTAGTGAGGACATTGCTGATGCCTTATTTATAACTATTCAAATTTCTCTTGACTTGGGAACCTTCCCTTTGGATTGGAAAATTGGGTAAATCACTTGTTACTTAGGGGGAAAAAAAAACAAAGGGTAGTAAAACTCTCCTCCGCACATTTTAATTGATGTGAGATCAATTGTTAAATTGAAATATGTTTTGATAGGTTTTATTAACCAAAGTTCCCAATGACTTTTTTTTAAAGAAGTGATTAAGAAAAACCCATTATCCCTCAAGTAAATCAGACATGATCTCATTAAATGGAGGAACAGGCTTGAGGTCTAAAAGGCCTCCATATGTTCCCAAGACAGGTCCCTCATGAACATTAAATCAATCTGATGGTTTTGGACATATTCAAGGTGACAGACACAGCCTGAGCATATTGAATAGTTTTGTTCCCTCCAGTTCATTTGCACCCAGAAAACGGGTCTAAGGTTAATCAGTTTCTGCACCATGAGCATACATGACCCAACGATTAACATAGTACAGTCTTTAGAGTGTAAGCAAGCTTGCTCACTGTCTTTGGTCTGCCAACCAGCCATTACTGAGCAGCACAACATAAGGCCTGGGACCATAATGCCACAAGCTGTGGAGACCTGAAAATTAAACAAGAAATTCTCTCTGTGAATATATTCACAGCCAGAAAATACTCAGTACAGTCAGAGAACAGAGAAAGATTCCTTGCTGCTCTCGCTCATTCCCACCTCTCCACCCCCATTGTCTTCCTTCTCTCTGATACTGCTACCAACATCCCTCACCAACTAAACTGCTCATACCCACTCCATCAGTACCCTCCCTTATTCCTCCACATGACGTACCCCCTCCCCACTCACCCACTGTCCTACATCCGAGCTCCAGCCAATGATACAGGACTCCAGCCAGGAGTGTGAGCGAATCCTGGAGCCCTTTAGGATTGTGCAGCGTTTTATCCGCACTCCATCTTCAATCACCACTTCAGGGCCAATTGTCACATTTGGACCAATGGAACAGTTCTCTCCAATCTGTGCTGTTGGGTCCTAGTGGAGAGAATTGACAGTGAGTCTCAGTCTGCAGGAGACAAGTTCACAATTTGAAATGAACATTGGGGCTGAAATACAATAAGGAGCTTACATAAGGCTGGGTCACAGATCAAGCCTACACAGAAATACAGAAGTCTCTTATCAGTCGCTTTTAAAGGTCTTTGGCCAGTCCCAACTCTAAACCTGTAAATCGGCTCCACGTGACGCTATCACTCAGACAAGAGAAGCAGGGCCACTGCTGGATGTGGATGTCAATAGGAAGTAGGAGGGGATATTCAGAGCTCAGGCCTGAAGAATAATGATCGAACAGTTTCAGGAGATATTTATACTCCACTTGGCAGTGCAACATCCACTCTGGGGAGTGCTTAGTTTCCTCAGCATTAATGTTCCTCAACACGAACATACAATATTGCCAAACAATTCTTCCTCAAACCCTAAGTGGCATTGCCACATCAGTACCTCACTCTGACTGCCTTTACCATTGTTGCCTCCACTTGGAAGAGTGTACACACCATCACCATTTTGTTTTTTAGAATTCTAGGGTGTGCACCTTGGAACCTGCACAACGGGAGCCTCGGCAGGACCTGCCCTGTATATTTAGATTCAGGGATTCATTGAGTGGCGACAAAGCATCTGTTGATTACAGCTGAACTGCTCTCATTAATGCCCTTTAGGGAAAGGAATCAGCCACTCACATCCAGTCAGGCCTACGTACGTCAGTCCCACACTAATGTGGTGGACTCCCAAATAACTGAACAAGTCACCCCTTGTGTGGAACTAGAGGTGGTCAATAAATGTCAGCTTTCCCAGCAACATCCACATTCCCCAAATCATTATTTCATTGGCTTTCTGATTGGTTAAAAAAAAAAATCAGGCTTTCTAATCATTTTAAAAGTTGATTGTCTTCTAATATTCAGGGTGCATCAAGATTAAACAAACAGGATGGGGTAAAATTAACTGCCAGACAGTCGTAAAAACTCCATCTGCTTCACTAGTGCCCTTTAGGGAAGGTAATCTGGCCTACACATGACCCCAAACCCCACAACAATGCTATCTGATAATGATCAAGCAAAATGTTCAATTCTATCCAAGATAATAATTCACCAATACGTTCTCAAAGGTAATTAGCAATTGGGCAATAAAAGGCTGGCCCAGCCAGCAATGCTATTCAAGTTAATACAGGGGACTTTAGTCTAAATTAGGATTCATTTTGGGACTGTTTCTATATGGTTATATTGCACCACCCAACCATAAGAATGTGGAAATCTGAAATAGAAACAAAGTGCTCGATAAACTTAGCAGGTTTGGCAGTGGCTGTGGAGAGAAAAACAGATTTACATTTCAAGTACCATGATTGTACAGACTGTGTGGTTTTAATTACAAAGGTAGCCAGCTCTGGGAGATTGATGTTCCTTAGACCCAGCCCGGGTTGGGTTCCACTGACTACAGGCCCGTCAGTCTAACCGTGTGTAGGGAAACTGTTGGAAGCAATTCTGAGGGACAGAATTAATCTGCACTTGAAGAGGCAGGGATTAATCAAAAACAGTCAGCACGATTTTGTTAAGGGGAGGGTATTTGCTGTTTCTGGTTTCTATAAATGATTTAGATGCGAATGTAGGACAGGTGAACAGTAAGTCTGCAGATGATGGAAAACTGATTGGATAGTAAATAGTTCAGAAGAATAGCCTTAGATTATAGAAGGATATAGATGAGCTGGTCAGATTGGCTGATCAGTGGCAAATGGCATTCAATTCACATGGTGTGAGGTGATGCATTTGGGCAGGACAGACAAGGCAAGAGAATACATGATGAATGGCAGGACCTTGGGGAGCACAGAGGAACCTTGGTCTGCATGTACACCGGTCCCTTAAGGTATCAGAACAGGTGGATAAAGTGGTTAAGGCGGCAAATGGGATACTTTAATTTATTAGCTCAGGCATCGGGTTTAAGAGCAGGGAGGTTAAGCTGGAACAGTGTAAGACGTTGGTTAGGGCACAGCTAGTGGATTGTGTGTAATTCTGGAATCCACATTACAGGATGGATGTGATAGCACTGTAGAGGGTGCAGAGGAGATTGACCAGGATGTTGCCTGGGCTGGAAAGTTTTAGTTCTGAAGAGAGTTTGTACAGACTGGGGTTGTTTTCCTTGAAGCAGAGGAGACCAAGAGGGGACACGGTTGAGATACATAAAATTATGAGGGGAATAGACAGGGTAGATAGGAAGAAATTTTTCGCATTGTTGCAGGGATCAATGACCAGGGTGCACAGATTTAAGGTAAGGACAGAAGGTTTTGAGAAAATGAGAGGAAAAAAAAAACTTTTCACCCAGAGAATGATGGGAATCTGAAACTCACTGCCTGTAATGTGGTAGAAGCAGAAACCCTCATAAACATTCAAAAAATGTTTAGAAGTTCACTTGCAATGCAGATGCTAAGGCTATGGGTCAAAAGCAGGAAAATGCAATTAAAATAGTTCGGTGGTAGTTTATGACCAGCATGCATGCAATGGGCTAAACACCCTCTTCTGTATTGTCTATCATAACCACACCAAACTCTTAACCAACACCCCACAGATCCTTTTGCAATTTTGACTATTTTTGTTGCAAAGAGAACTGCAGAAAAATAATTCCATATTTGGTTTGTGAAATCCCAGAATGTCACAAAGTTAAAATGTCTTAACCCAAGGCCTTCAAAAGAAAAAAAAACTGGACTGTCACTGCCACCTGCTGGGAGAAAGAAGAAAATCACCACTTCCTGAAGGCCCACAAGCATGAATATACCAAGACCAGCAACTTGTAAAGATTCTCAGCAAACCATCAACTGTGGTGAATCCGAAAAGATCCAGTTTGGAACACCGTTTGTACACCATGTATAGTCTTACAGGAAGAGCCACTTGATCAAGGTGAATTGATTTGAAATTTTGCTCAGAATATAAACACTTCAGAATTTCACATACACAATCACACAACATCTAGCACATTTATTTCCACTAACAGTTTTGGAGGTACTCCCCCGGCCTTTCCCCAGAGTGCAGCAATTTCTCAAAATATTTATGTTTCGTTAACGCGAATTGACTAACGTGACTGATGAATATTGGACGCTGCTTGAATAACACAAACTTTCTGCTGTACAGGTATAAGCAATTTCTCTATAATGCGGTTTTCTATAGCACAAGGTCACACAAGAATGCAACTATCGCGTTTCAGGAGAACTACCTGTACTGCTTCCACTTTCTGACAGGGCAATCCAGCTCACAACCCACCAGGGTGTAACAAAATTCTCACCCACCCACACTTTGTGCAAGTTATCTGCAGTTTGTGTCCTCTGGTTGTTGAAGGAACTGAACCCACTGGGTTGCAGATCAGATACCACTGCTGCTCAGAGAATTGCTGGCTGGGATGCTAAAGATCAGGTTCAGTGGAGTTGGTGAACTACTCTGGCAGTGATACAGGCCACAAACTCTACCCATTCTGTCCAGTGGCAGCATCTGACGCATTGCTCAGCAAAGGAGTGCTATTGTACAATGCTGGCAGTGTGGAATATTGAACAGAGTGTGCAACTGCTGAACGGGAGGAAGCAACGGTCAGCCAGGACAGCTGAATGAGGAGCGCAGTGCACTGAGGTGATGGTGTAAAACCCCCACTGGGACCTCCGCACCAAGACTTACCACCAGCACGTTTCCAACGATGCCAGGTCCTTGGTGTAGCCGGTCTGGTGCTTTGTGCCGAAGGGAATGTAGATACATGCACATTCCAGTTAGGAAGTCCTTAGGCTGCCCGATGTCCATCCAGAACCCTGCACAGAAGGCAAGCAATTGCATCGTGTTTGCAGAGATTTACAACAGTCCCCAATTCCTGATCCTCGAGGTCCTTCAGGCAACTTCAAGACTGGACTCTCTTGCACAATATGACCAGGACCAGCAGCAATCCTCCGCACTGCCTCAGACTCTGGAAATCAGTACCTTTCGGAGTGACCCTCCCAGTCAATGGAAACAATTTCACCTTCTTTACTCTGAAAGTATCTATCCTGGCCTTGCACACCTCTATCAAATCTCCCCCTAACCTTCTCTGCTCAAGAACAAACTCTGGTTTCTAATATCTACTGCATCCTCATCAGCGATTTGTGTTTGTGGAAGTTTTAACGGTTCTTCTTTTCAGATAGATCATGGCCTGAGCTGCAACTGAATTTGATCTATCGACTGTTACTCTATATCCTTACAAACAGAAATCACTCAATTGCTGTTTTGAGACCTCCAGTTAATGGCAGTGTTCCCAGGTTTGTGAAGGATAGAGTTCCTGATATTCACTGTCGTGTGTACAGATGAGCCACTTCCTGATTTCACCATATTTGGCCCAGCTATCATTTAACAGCAGGCTCCTTCACTCCGGAAATCCCCACTGGAGCAAACAGTTTGCATTTGCCCAATGGCAGACTCCACATCATAACAGCATCCGACACAATGTACACCCAATGCAGATCCGAGCAAACCAGAGAACACTGGATCAATAAGAATAACAGGCTGCATCATTTAATCATATAATCACTAACCTACCCTAAACAAGGGCATGAGTTAGAAGTGCATTAAGAAAAATCGCTGGCCTGTATTCATAAACTGATCTTGCCCAGGGCAGATGGTGAGAGAAAGAAAAATTATTTTTGGGCGTGTGAAGCAAAAAGCAATACTGGAATATCTCTCCAACATCACAGACTTGAAGCTCAGAGACTGCCCAATTCAGAAGGAGACTCTGCCTCAAGTCAAGTCTGAACTGAGTGCATTCCTCACCTTGCAGCTCCATGGCATACAGCTGTCCTTCCTGAGCCATGACTGGGAAGATCTCCTTCTCGATGGAGGTTGGCCTGAGCTGTAGACAGATAAAGGACACAGAATCAGCACCAGTCACTGGACTCCCAGCCTGCCAGTCCCAGTGAGATGGTCCATTATAGTTGAGCTGGCTCACAGCATCACTCTGCCATCCTCCCTTCCTCATGCAGAAGTCTTGTCCATGTTTGGACTCATTGATACCTTACCCGTTAACTAACATGTACATTATACAAGATATCTGCAAGTTGGCAGAGAACAATAGGAACTATTTTGGGTGTGGGATTGTTATTTTACATCTCTCTTCCAAGAAAGGACACTTCTTACTCAGGCACAGCACTGGAAGCTTTCTTGTCCTTCAGGCTCTTAACTATTTGTCAGCTTTGGCCCCAAACAGTTGACTGTATTTAACTGTAGGGGGCATCATGCCCAAGTTATATAAACCCTGGCCAGCAAAGAGGAGCAAGAGCTTTGGGGTCAATTTTCTCTCTTAGATTTAAGGGCAGTGCAGGCGTGATCCGAATCCTCACAGGGACCAGGGATCAGTTTGTTACACTGCCAAGACATGTACTCAATGCTTTAACCAGAAGAGGAATTAGAAGAGGCCATGTCACAGTCTCAAAATGTACTTGATTGTCACCAAGAGACCAGAACAGATAGCAATTTTATAAAATACCGAACTACAGGACTGCTTTCTCTTAAAGAGAGACGACGCATGGTGGTTTAACCTGAGGCTCACCATACCTCAGGTGAGGGGAGGGGTTGAGAAGGAAAATCCTTCACACTGTTAGTATCACTGTACATCACAAACCACCGTACAGCCAACTAAGCTAACCAAACCCCTAGCTCCAATCAGTCTGGTTGATCGAAGACAAAACTCTCTGCTGGAAACTACCTGTCAGAATGAAGTCTCTGATTTAAATCACTAACATACTGCATTTACGAGTTAATAGATATATTAAGTTTGCAATTTATGAAAATCATCTAAATCAGCCACAATTCTAGCTGGTGAGCACCTCTGGGATTAAATCAACAATAACAGGATGAAATCAACAACAATAACCTGCCTTTACAGAACTCCTACAAAACAACAGAGTAAAAAATGCCAACTTAGGGCAGATGACCAAAAGCTTTTATCAAGGATTTCAGATGTCTTCAAGGAAAGGCAGAGAATGTTGACAGGAAATTCTAGAGCTAGTGTCCCAGGCAACTAAAGGCAGAGTTGCCAAATGGAGCAACTAAAATCAGGGAGACGGACAAGATGCCAAAGTTATCTTGGAGGGAATTACAGAAATGGGAGATGGGTCTGTGAGCTTACAGGCAATGAGTGAACAGGACTTGTTCCAAGTTGGGCCACAGGAGGCACTACTTTAGATGACCTTTAGATGTCAAAAGTCTGTGTTTAGCCAGAGATGTGATTGGAACCACTAAATAACAATAGGAATGTATGTGTGTGTGTGTGTAGGCCAGGGGCTATCCAAGGTTGTGTTTGAATAGTGATGAACTGCTGTGTTTCAGGACAGTCGTTCACCAGCATCAGCTTCAAGTATAAATTAGTGGTCGGCAACAAACACTGGTCCATCTAGTACCACACATTCCAAAACTGAATAAAAGAAGTCAAGATTATAGGGCGTGACCCAGGAAAAGATAAATAGAGGCAAGAGAGGAACAGATTATTTCCACTGGCAGAAATGGGCAGCCTTAACAATCCAACAGAAAATGAAGTCTAACTCCTGATCAGTGCAGCAATGAATGCTAGAATAGAAGTTTAGCACCTTTAAATTCTGCAGAAGTAGCTCAATTCAATAACAGCTGTATCCAACCATGAGCTTTCCCTGTCCTGGGAGTGTTTGATGAGGACAGTGCCGTCCCTGTCCGGGGACTGTTTGCTAGGGGACAGCGTAGAGGGGGCTTTACTCTGTATCTAACCTCATGCTGTTTCCATCCTGGGGAGTGTTGGATGGGGACAGTGCAGTGGAATCTAATCTAACAGAGTTTGGCACTCCATTTGCCTGTATTAAATATCCTTCACTTTGAGGTTTGTGCAGGCTACAGGGTAGAAAGGCCATGATTTATACCAAGTTCACGGAAACACTGCTGATTAGTGCTTGGGATCAAACAGCATCCAAGGTTCAACTGATCTTTACCACTGGGATCCAAAGATCTCCTTCGTCACTTGGTGAAGTAGTGAATAGAGTAGAGGCCAAATATAGCCGCTTCACGTCAAGGGAAACGCACCTGGATCCTGTTCAGAACCATTGGGCTGAAGATATACATTCCTGCATTGATCTTGTTTGACACAAACACTTGAGGCTTTTCCACAAATCGATGTATTCGCCCGATTTCTGCTTCGTAGATCACAACCCCATATTTGGATGGTTCCTCCACCCGAGTGACCTGTCAATGAGACGGATTTATTAAAGGACGATCAGAGGGACATTCATAAGCTCAAGTGGCAGGGACAAGGTCGGGGAGCAATTTCCACAAACACGTTTCCTTTCCGGTTTCCCTCGAGACATTGTCCAGTTGTTGGAACAGTCAGAAGACTCTCCCCAGTACACTCCATCGTTCCCAGGAAATAGGCAGATATTCCCAGCACCTCATTCCTGCCTGAGGAATAATTCCTTACATATAATGCTTGAGGCCAGAGTTTGCTGTTACAGCTGTAACTTTGCACATGAACTAGTGCAGCGCACAGGAGGAGAAAGTTTACTGATGGTCATTACATTGGTCACTAGAGCAGTTCTAACAGGCAATACCATTTTAAAACAAAAAATTTTTTTATTGGGCGTGGATCTTGTTGGCACAGCCAGTACTTGGGATCCACCCACCCCCAATTACCAACTGAGTGGTTTGCTAGCCCATTGCAGAGGACAGTCAAGAATCAACCACTTTGCTGTGGTTCTGAAGTCACATGTAGACATGTAGGCAGATTTCCTTCCCTAAAGGACGTTACTGAACCAATCAGTGGTAGCTTTGTGATCATCCTCTCTGAAACTGACTATGAATTCCAGATTTTATCCATGGGAACTGCACTGGCTGTAGTGGGAGGTGTTGAATCCAGGTCCCCGGAGCATCCACTTGGGCATACATTTACTAGCCCAGTGACATTAGCACCAAGCCACTGTCTCCCTGTTTGCCACTCACCACTATAGTACCCTCCTTTCCATGATGCTTGTGAAAGCGGACCATCTCTTCAAAGGGGAACTCACAGATAACGTCACTGTTGAGGACAAAGAAGGGCTCCGAGCTGCTGGTGATCAGCTCACGGGCCAGAGCGAGGGGTCCAGCTGCAAAAGATAACACACAAGAGTCATAAAAGCTACAAAGACAGCCAGGTGCTCCTGACATAGCAAGATCCACAATCAGCATCCACGGACACATACTCTATGTGGAAGCACCTTCTCTGCCTTGCACTGATTCCTTCTTCAGAGTTATTGTATCACTTTTTTTTTTAAAAAAAGCTAACTCAATAGGCAGAGATAGAAAGAACTACCGATGCTGGAGTCAGAGATAACACAGTGTGGAGCTGAAGGAACACAGCAGGCCAGGCAAGATCAGAGGAACAGGAAAGTTGACGTTTCGGGTCAGGACCCTTCTTGCAAATAGACTGCTTAAGATGGAAATAGCTAGGAAAGAATGAAGTATGACAGTAAAGGTATGAAGGGATATGGAGTAGAGACAGATAAATTCACCTCAGTGCAGATCATCAATTACTTAACGCCAGAAAAGTGTGAAGAAGGTTAATAACCATCTCCTGTGCTTTTATTTCACTGAACTGCTGCCCTCATCAGATGCAATGTTATTCCATTCTGGATGGGATTCAGGGACAGAAATTAATGAAATTTGAGGGAAATAAAGTTTTTTGTAAATTTGCAGTGCAGAAGGGAGAAGCCAGGATTCCAATAGGGACAAAAATGAATAACTGAAGTGAAGTCCCCTTTAGGGCAGAGTGGGGAAGATCAGAAAGGGGAGCACAGGGGTTTCACTGTCATCAGTATATCAATGTGGCCAAGTTTCTCACCTGTTCCCAAGGGCTCCTTTTCATGAGAGAGAGAGATCCGGATACCCAGCTGAAGGAAATAACACAAGATGGCTGGTTAGTAAAGAATACACAATTACAGTTACTGTTCCTATTGTTTCATAGAATCATACAGCATGGAAACAGACCCTTCAGTCAAACTAGTCCATCCTAACCACGTTCCAAAACTAAAATAGTTCCACTTGCCTGCATTTGGCCTCCAAACCTTTCCTATCCATGTACTTATCCAAATGTTTTTTAAATGTTGTAACTCTATCTGCATCCACCACTTCCTCTGGCAGTTCATTCCACACACGAACCACTGTGTAAAAATGTTGCTCATGTCCTTTTTAAAACTTGCTCCTCACTTAAAAATATGCCCGTAGTTTTGAAACTCCCCCACCGTGGGGGGAAGAAAGAGACCTGCAATTCACCTTATCTATGCCCGTCATGATTTTAAAGACGTCTATAAGATCACCATCAACCTCCTACACTGCAGTGAGAAAAGTCCCAGCCTATCTAGCCTCTCCTTATAACTCAAACCTTCCATTCCCAGCAACATCTGGTAAATCTCTTCTGAACCCTCTCCAATTTAATAATATCCTTCCTATAACAGGGAGACTGGAACTGCACACAGTACTCCAGAGTAGGCCTCACCAATATCCTGTACACCTTGAACACGACGTTCCAACTCCTACACTCAAAAGTCTGCGCAGTGAAGGCAAGCATGCTGAACACCTTTACTACCCTGTCTACCAGATGCTCATCAGTCAGGCAGGCATTTGTGCAAGGTAGGCAGAAAGAGAAAAAGAGGTGGATGCTCAGGCAGCAAGCTGGGCCTGGTGTTCACCTACCTGCACCTGGACGTGGCAGGCCTGGCTCTGCTGGCAGTATCTTTCCCTCTCAGACAGCCAGGGATGAGCTCAAGCCCAATTCCAGAGGGTTGCAAAGAGCGTGGGTCAGGGGGAATGAGACCAGCTATGACATAAGATACAGGCTGCAGTTTGAAATGATCTTCAATTTTTCAGAGGGTAGAAAGTAGGGAGGCCACATAGGAATGAGGCTCCTTAAGCCCAATGGGTGTTCAGCACTCAGCACGAGCTGCTGGATCTCTCTGTCCTCATGGTGCTGAGAAAAACTGAATGGTTTTAACCATACAATGGTCAAATCAAGACGCTCACTTGTTTATCCTATCATCCTCTCCAACTTGTATGATTCAACATCCCAAAGCACAATTACACAGCAGGAGGGGCAATACACTGCTGGGGTCAATTAGGTTGTATGCTGCACAGTTCAATACAAATCCCTGCTTTCACCATGTCTAGCACAATCACAGAAAGTCAATTTGCAGGAAACATTCCCATTCACTGCTGTAGCCTTTTCCCACTTACCCGCTGCTCCTGCTCCTTCATCTCCTTCTCCAACATCTCCGACATGTAGCTGACAGCGAGGATTACATGGGTTACACCAGCCTGCTCAAAACAGATACTAGATGTGGGAAAAGAGCGGCACAAGAACCTGTCTACAGTCTGCACTTTTAGACTGATTTATTCCACATTCCCAATAAGTACCGACAGCCATTGTTACAACACTCTGCATACTGTTACATTTCAGCTGAAATCCTGAAGAAAACAATGAGGGAGGAAAAAATATCAGATCTACATGTTGAACTGTTTAAAAACAGTGCAATTTGATATTCAGCCCTTCCCAGCTTAGATGTTAGAGGAGGCTGACGTAGTGCTGACTACATGCCACAATTAAGCTGCTGAAGTAAATGTCAACTCAATATTAATGAGCAGTCACAAATCTCTTGCACTGATGCTGATGCAGTTGACAGGGAAAACTGCAACATTAAATTGTTTTGGCTTATCCACAATATTCCTCAAAATATTTCAGCACTAATATACAAGAGTCAGATGATTATATACCGTATAATCTCTGTACAATTTTAAAGGTCAACAAGTTTGTGTAATAGAAAAATACAACGAAGTGGCAGTGGAAGGCATCTGGGAGGATGCACTGTCTAGCCCTTACACACAGCTATCCATGATCACATACGCTCCTCTCTCTGGTATCCCGATCTCAACCATCTCTGGCAGGTGCTGACTGTACCTTTACTAAGGCTTCCACTTGGTGTAGAAGAATGGGCTTGTTGCAGAAGTCCACCAGCGGTTTTGGAACACTGAGTGTCAGCGGGCGTAACCGCGTGCCAAAGCCTCCGACCAGAATCAACGCTTTCATCGTCAGCTGTGAAGAAATGAAATGGGAGCCTCTCACTAAATAATCCAGAGGAGAACATGCAAGAATAGAACCTCAAGATGCTGCAATTTTCCAGCAATGGCAGGAGGGTGACAATCACGCTGTACAAACGAGACTGAGCCTGAATCAATGGCGGAATGAACGCACCTTTGAACCTATTCCCATAAAAGCAATTCCACTCCCGGGCGCCACCTTTGCTGAGGTTGGCAGTGGTTTCCTCTTTCCATCAAATCTTTCATCATCAACCCTTACTCTAGAAACACACATTTGCTCTGCGATCTTCAACCTCCTTTCCTCTCCAAAATCGAGACCCAGAATTAACACATGTTTGAAATCCTGCAATCAGTTTTTTTTTTTTGCAAAACTGCAGGCCTGAAACAGATCTTATTCCAAGTAACACCAGTAACTGAGGCAGAACCAGGAAGAACTGCCGATGCTGGAGTCAGAGACAACAGTGCGGAGCTGAAGGAACACAGCAGGTCAGGCAGCATCAGAGGAGCAGGAAAGCTGACATTTCGGGTCAAGACCCTTCTTCAGAAATGGCACTGGTTATTTTATAAAGTTGATTTGCTGGTCCTCGAGGACAAAAACCTGAAATGGGCACCGACTGAAACACGTACAGCGCTGACACCCAACCGCCGTGTCTCTGAATTGGCAAACTGCGAGTCCCATAACCGGGGCTGGGACGGGCAGAAACGTGCAGATTCTGCCGCTTGGTCACCGATTCAGGATCCCCTCCCTCCCTGACTAGTGCCTGAGCCAGGCGGAACCTTTACTCAGCTCAAACCCGATCACAGCCACAGGTACAGGCTGGACTATTCTCATGACCAGTTAATGTGGTGCCCTCCACTCACTGGAGCTGCCCATTTCTGTCACACCCCCTTCACTCACTCACTCTAATCACACTGACACCCTCAATCATCTCCTGTCCCCCGAGGAGACCTCACCCTCACCCTC